TCTGCAAGGTTTATTTCCTAAATTGTCTTTACCTTTTTCCTTCAGGAGAGGAGTCTGATCTAGAGCATGGAATTAGTTTGTCCATATTGCAAAGAGTCAAATGAATTCACGGAGATGATGCTGCTTCTCAGTTGCGCTGAATTATTTCTGTCGGAGGACTGAGGTTGGATTTTGACACTCAAAATGTCAATTGTCTTTCAGTTTTATCTGTCAGAATGCTTGTAGTTAAATAAGAGAGAACATCTCCAGTGTTAGTATAATGATGACTGATCTTCTCAGTCTTCAGTGATCCTTTGAATTCATGAAACCTGTCATCCTTGTTCTCTGTTATGCCCTTTGGCAAAAGGTGTTCAGGAGAAGACTGTATACTAGAGAACGTGTGGGTGGAGGCACAAGGGGCTGCTCGTGGACAAGGATGATAGATTTAGAGACCAGGTAATCCAAGGCAGATTTCTAGGACAGCCTTAGTAGGCTTGATCTTTGTGTAAGGTAGACTTCAGGAGCCATGATTCCAAATTTGATGTAATGGTGATGCACCATTTTTCAGTAGTTTGTGTGAACAAAGGAGAAGATGTTGACTCTGGCTAAAGGGAAATTCAGGGCAGATAATCTTTTCCACTCTTACAATATTATGCACACAAAGTAGAGTAATTAAAAAAAAAAAAAAAGACAACATAAGGAACAAGCTTGAGAGAATGAAGATTAATGAGGATTACAGTTCAGTTTCAGTGTCTGGAGAGCACATTTGCAGAATTCTGGATACAAACGTGGAAAAAGCAAATGAATTAGGATGCAGAAGATTGTCACATGAGCAGTAAACATGTTTTAATTTTTAGAACAGTCATCAGGCACTCTTAGCTTTACAGGCTGTTCTGCAATTGTCTCAGTAAAAAGCATTTGTGGCTTTGCAAAAAACCCCTCCACTTTTCCTGAAGGCAAACTTGGTTTGGGAGCTCTCATTTTTTATTAGCAAACTGAATACAATGAAGAAATGTTCTTCCATCTCTTACATCAATATGCAGATCTTCTTAAAGTAAATGCATTTGTTCAGCTTCTAGTAACTACTAGAGGGATAAACAGTATCCCATGAAGTGGCTAAGACTACGAATGATCACGTCCAAAATAATGATGATGATGGTGATGTGATTGCTATTCTCTAGGCTGTAGCTCTTCATTTTTGTCTTAACAAGCGAATGGGCTGCTCTCTTCCCTCTGTTGGAAGATCTCTGTTGCTGATATATTCATCTTGTAGCTGAGATGCTGCAGAAGAGGAACTGAAAAACAAATCTTATTTCTGCTGTCAAACAGTGCTTTGATACAGACCTGTCTGATTTCTTCATGAAGTTGCAGAATACTGAGTTTAGTTTGGTTTCTCAGGGCAATGAAACTCAGGGAAATGTTCTCTGTGTGGCTCTGTCCCATTCCCCTTCCCAACAGTGCTCGGACTTGTCAGCCAGTTTGATCAAAATTTGATGAATAGATATTAACTGATGTGAAAATAATTGGTTGAATGGCAGAAAGATCCTAATGATGCCATTCACTGAGGGAGAAACTGTAGTTAACTCTCTGCTGATTAGATATCTGAGACACCCCACAGGAGCTCAGTCTCTAGACATAACCCTAGAGAAAGCCAAGCTTTGCCAGTTCATCTGATAGGCATTTTAGGTCTTTATTTTTGTTTGGATAAGCTTGAGTGGAAAAAATTATACAACCTTTTATGTGCCTCTCAGTTGTACAAAACTGTTGTTTAACCCTTTATTCCACAAAGCTTTGTGATTTTTTTGCAGTTGACTTCACTAGGAGACAGGATCATCCCTGCAGGCAAAATTAAATCAGAAACTAAATGCCTTGATAAAATTCAAAAGCTTCTGACTTCTTCCCCCTCCTCCCCCGGCCCCCCTCCCCTTGCTTTCAAAAAGCTGATGCTGTAATTCAGTAAGTAGTCTTTAAAACCAGGCTGAAATTGAGTAACTAAAGTCATGGTCACAGTAGAAAAGTCTTGACTTGAATCTCCTTGGAGGCAAAATGCTGTTTCTTAGCTGAGGACCTTGGCCTGTCTGTTATTTGGGTGGTTTGACTTTTTTCTGGTTTGAATGTATATTTTAGGAAAATGGCCAGTGCTTCTACGTGTTCTTAGTATAGACTGATCTTTTTTTTTTTTTTTAAATAAATATATTTTAGAACTTCCTTTGATAGCTGTTAGCATCATTGCTTACGTAGTAACTACTATGCAGATACTATCAGTGTATGTCAGCATACTCATACAACAAGAGCGAACGTTCCTGTTCCACAGTCCTAATTTTTGACAGATCTTCCTTACCTCGGTAAATTTTATAATCTGATTGACATGACTTAAAACAGATTATTTTGCATAAATGGTACTCACGCGCCTACTCGATGAGCAGTATTTATGAAATGTTGCAGATACTTGGTATTAAGTATGCTAGAAACCTATTAAACTTTTCCAGGTGTGTGGGTTGTGTTGTTGGTTTGTTTTTTTGTTGGCTGGTGGTTTGTTTCATGTTTGTTTGTTCATTTTTTTCTCCTTTTTTTTTTTTTAACATACGATCTTGTCTTCTGCTCTATCCTTGCCCCCCTCCCCCTGCTCCTCAGTTGAAACTTTGGGGTTTCTGACTTTCTCCAGAACACAAATTTTATGCTTTTAGCTTTTTTTGTGCAGAAGAACTGATCATGTTTTTCAAAAGAAGAGAATGAGCATATGTTTAATATATATTATAAAAGTACAAAAAGTACATCTTATAATACCTCTTACAATAACAAATAGAGATTAAGTAATTTTTCTAAAGATCTTAGCATAAAGGAAGCACTTATTTTGAAAAAAATTATACTCAGTGTAAAATACTGGTTATCTTCTAAAACGGAATAAAAAAAATTCTCATGCTTTGTAGTACTTCACCTTAATTTTGTAGCCTAATAATACAACAAGAAAGTATGGACATGAAGAGAATGATTATAATATTCACATCATCAATAAGGTTAGCTGTAATGAGCGGACAGTATCTCTTGACACTTGGATTGATAATTTGTATTAGTCTCATCTGTTAAAATTAAAAAAGAAAAATGCAAGTCCACACATTCTGTTTATTAAAATTCTCCTTGGTAATGTGCTTACCAGTTGATTTTTAAAAGGATTTGTTTTCATGAATAAAACTTAATTTAGGCCTTACCATTTTTACCTCTTAATTTTTTTTTAGTTAGCTTTCTGCAAAACACTTTCTTTTTGTGGAGGAATCGTAGACTTTTTATATTTTATACCCTAAAGCACAGACCAGACCAACTTAAGGAAAACTACAGAAATATCTGCAGCTTTCTAGTTTGTAATGAAACAAGACTGACTTGCTCAAGGTCATCACAGAAGTTCGTGGCAGAGCTGGGGGTGTAAAGGCATCTTCCTGGGGGTGTAAAAGCATCTTCCTTGCACTGTGAGCTGCAGCTTGAACCAGAAGGGCACCTATCCTGTGCCTGTGCATCTTCTGTAGACACACAGATACAAGAACTTGTGTTTTAAATATTACTATGGCATGTTTTGCTTGATTATTGAGGGTAAATGTAATCAACCTTGTTGCTGAAAGTACTTGGCTGGCTGTGTAGCACTTAGGGGCTTTGAAAACTTTATGGTGGGGGGGAGGAAGGCATCCAGGCATGTCTTCAGTTCCCTTTGGCTTTCTGCAGCCCCAGAAAGAGCTTTGTGCCTGGGCAGTGATGCAGAACATCTGATGGGCCTGGTTGTGGCCTAATCTCTTTCTCTCTCTCTCTTTTTTTTTTTTTTTTTTTTCCCCCAGTGAATATTTTTTTCTCCTTTAGAGACAAAACCAATACTTTAAAAAAAGCAACAACTGTATTTATCAAGAGTCTTGACATACACCACAGTAGTTCTGCACAGCCAGTGTATTGCGAAGGGAAGATGGCAGTATTACAGGTAAAGAATGGTAATTAAAAATATGCTGTAGATAAGTGTGTGCTGCTATAAGTAGGCAGATAGGTTAAGTTGAAGGCTCTTAGCTTTAGCTTAATTCCCTTTTGGTTATAGTCTTGGATAAGCCTTATGCCTTACTGCTGAGGGCTGGGTGTGAGAAAAGATTACCATGGAATATATAAAGAGCTTTAATGATCTCTTTGTGAGTCTTGTTCGTGTTGATTTTAATATATATTTTAGCTAAAGCAGTTGTTTATAATTTTTGTGAAACCTTTTGTTAGGATTAAAATGAGTATTTTCTTTATTCCTGTATACATATGCTGCCTGAATGTGTGTTTATAAACATAGGCTTTTGCAATGTTTATAGTCACATTTTTAAAAGAAAAAAAAAATGTTGTAGGCAGTTTTGATGTTATGTGCTGCAAAGTTAAAAAGAAACAAATGCCATGCAGCACATGGCGTGTGCGTTTGTGGTAACCTTTGTTTTCTGATTAGAAGTGTATAAAGAAGCCCAGGTTTTAGAGAAGGGCAAGAGCTGGTACTGAGTAATCACTGGCCTGGGCTGTGATACTTGCTCTTTATTTAAGGCAAAGGAACAGTACCAGGGTTATTTCATCAATAACCTTGTAGTTGTGAAGTCAGGCAGGTGGTGATTCAGGGTCTGACCCCCATTCTCGCTGAAGTTTATGAAGTTTTTAGGCTGTCCGTTCCCCCCCGCCCCGTACAGCCGTATGCGGCCATCGATCTGAAAATACATAAAAGTGAGGCCGACCTGTGAGTGCTTGGAGGGAAGGTGTGACGCGGTGCGGTTTGCGGAGCGGCGGGCGGGTTTTGTGCCTGAACCAGCAGCGCCAGACCCCGGCCGGGGGAAGCACATCCCCAGACACGACCCGGGTCAGGCTTGATTTGCAGCTCAGCGGCTTTCAGAAGCGGCTGTCAGTTTGGTAAACAGGAGGCCGCCGGGTGAATTGAGCAGACGGGGGAGATTAGCATATTAATGCGGCTCTCGCTTAATCGCCTCCCCTCCCTCCTCCCCGCCTCCCTCCCCAGCGAAGGCAGGAGGACGGGCGCCCACGCTCACTCCGCTGCCTCCTTTCGCCCTCCTCGGTACCTCACCCACCCCCCCCTCCCCGGGAAAGGATGGTCCGGGCTTTCTCTCGCCGAGGCGTGAGAAGATGAAGCCGCGGCGCGGCCTCCCCCCCCCGCCGCCGCCGCCGCCGGAGCGCGCTGCCCCGGCCGCGCTGAGGGGCCGCCGCCTTCCCGCCGCTCCCGCCGCCAGGTGAGGCCGGCGCGGCCCGGGGAGGCTTCGCGGATCTCCCCCTGGCTCGGTCGGTTGACGTTCAAGCGGCTCCCAGCTCCCTCCCTCCCCTTCCCCTCCCTCCCCCCTGCAGGACCACAGGCTGCTGGAGCACTGAATCGGGACATTGTATGCCGGAGCCTGGCTTGAATCTCTGTACGGTCGTGTGTATGTGGTTGCTGGAAGTGGCAGGCCAGCAGGCCCCGAAGCGAGCAGGTGCTATCTATATGGAGAAAAGCGGCTGTAGCCCATTCCCGATATGCTGGGCTAAAGGTACACATAACTTTTTTTTTTTTTTTCCTCCTTCAGTATTTATTTCCCCTCCCCCCCCTTGTTAATTTGATGTTTTGCCACCTGTGGTCCTATAGGGGTTTTTTTCCTATCAAAGGAAAAAGCAAAGAGAGAGAAGAAAATTATTTTATTCTGGTTATGTGCTTGTAATGTGAAGCAGTCCGCAGGATCTTCTTTCACCTGACAGCTGTAATGCTTTTTTTTTTTTTTTTTTTTCTCTTTTCTTTTTGGAATTATTTGAAATGAAAGACTGCTTGAGCTGTTTGTTTTTTAATTCCACTGATGTGAGGATCTGACGGCTTTGTTTTTGATCTATGTGTTTTTGAAACCACTGCAAGTGTAATTCTGCTTTCCCTTACCTTTTGGAAAAAGCAGTTTTTAAGTGGCTGATCGTAGGTAGCAATTACAGTGGAAGGCTTAACATCTTCCTACTTGATGTCTTAGAACTTGCCACCCCTGTTATTCACCCCCGCCCAAAAGAGACAATAACTAGCCACAAAGCATGCATTTATTACAATGAGAGGGTTTAACTTTAAATTGAGGTTTAACAATAATTAGATCGACATGTGAAAGTCATTCACAGGGTTATTTTAACTTGCATCCCAGGACATTTAATATTTACCCTGTTTAATCTAGAAGGTATTTGTGTGTTGGTGTTGTAGGTTGGGAGTGTGTATATGAAGATACAGTACAGGGATTAAGCTTGAAATCCTGTTAGTAGCCAAAGAATCCGATCTTCCTTAGATGGAAAACAACTGTAAAAGGTTGAGTGTTGCTGATTGTAAGCATAACTTTCCTTGTGTTCACTTTCGTTTCAATGTGCTTTCTTTTTTGGAAGAGAAGCTGGCAGTGAAGTATTGCGTCACCATAATCTTGGATCACAGAGGCAGTTACTTCAGAAGTTCTGGGGAAACGTATCTGAGCTAAGGGTTTGATAGGCATAGCTGATGATTAGTTATCTTGGAAAAATAACAGTAGATTTAGTTAGAATTTTTATTGTCTAGTTATTTGGAAGACACACAAAGGAGCATTTAACAGTCTTTGTCTTGCATGCTTTATGCACTTTGCTGAACTGTTCAGTCTAAACTAGTATTTGCCACCCATCGACATATTATAGTAGCACATACAGTAAAATAACTGAAAAAGAAGAAATCACAGAACACCATATCCTGGTAACATTTCATGAAGTGCAGAATCTTATCAGCTCACTGGAGAATAATAGTTAATAAAGCAGTGAGTAACCGTAGCTGTGCTTTGCTTTTACTAAAACTTGTTTACCATGAAGGAGTAATAGCGATGCCTACTCCTGTGTGTCATAAATTGGGTAACAAAAATATTAGATGAAATTGGGATTCATCTCCTTGGACTGTTCTGAGGGTCAGTGTGAAGGTACTTCCCAAAGAGTAATTTTCAAAAGTAGGGAAAAAAAATCTTTTTCAAAGAAAAAGCAAGTTGTTACCATCTGTTGTTAAGGCTGGCTAATACTGGGGATATCAGTTTCCTCCCTCCTGCTCCAGCACCAGATGATGCCTACATCAGGGCTAGCTGCTTCTTGCAGAAAGATGGCTGCATTGGGCTGTGGTAAAAGATATTGATTCCCCCCACCCACTCCAGCAACTAAAATGAATGGAAAAGGATCTTTCCCTCTTCCCCTGATTGCCTGTAGAGTTTTCTCAGAACATAACTTCGGGGAAGATTGTTTATCCAGCCTCCTCTGCCCCAGAATGGAGAACACCGATGTAATCTCTTTTTATTCCTGTTGAGGGGAGAAGGGGGACACCAGGAGTTTCGTAAGAGGACAAAGGCACCAGCATCTTCCAGGCTGCCAATTGTGGTGATTTCTAGAAAAAGGTACACCTCAGCCTCCAAAAAAAGTAGGACAGATGAGAAATAGCTTGTGCTATATTTGTCGTTGAATGGTGGCCATTCCTTAGTTGATGAATACTCTGTATACTGTTCACCAGCTTAACCTTAGGGAAATGAAACGGATCTGGCCTACTTTGATAAGGGCTGTGAGATATCTACAGTCAAAGAAAGGTAATATATTAATGAGAGAAACATTTATTTTGGATAGCTTTATTCTGGTTCTTTCGCTTTTCTGTTAAAGCTTCAAGTTGCAGCAAAATTTGATAAAACTTTTAAACTTATTTTATAATGTCGTAAAGTGTCATCTTGATGTGTATGTTTTATTATCCATAACTTCTTTCTAAATTGTCTGTTCTCTTTTTGATTGTGACAGATTATGCTTTCGGGGTGTTAGGTGTGATCCCATAGTAAATGTTCATGCTTTGAAATGCTTAAGTGAATCTGTGTTCATGTGGAGTGTGCTTTTTTTTTTTTTTAGTGTTCTTAAATCTAAAATCTTCAATCTTCAATCTTCTTAGCGATACTGTGTGTGACCTAATTGCCAGTTCTCTGTGCTGTGTCTGTAGGAGTGCATCAAAGAATAAGATGCTTTCTTTATAAAGTACTCGTAATCTGTGTTGCCAGGTTTTGCCACCTCTTTGCGTTGAAGTCCCATCCAAGTAGCGTCACTGAATTCAGTAATTTAGTCTGGATCTACATACTCCAGATTTGAGAGTATTTTTACTGGTGAACAAAGAGAAAGTGTGTATTTTGTTTACTGGCATATTTCTTCTCAGCAAGCAGGTCTGTATTACTTAATAGTGATAGGAATAAGACATTTTTGGCTGCTCCCCTCAGTTAAGTAATTTGAAACTTAAAACCTCTGGTTTTGTGGAATAAACAGCCTCAAGCTCAGTTACAGTTTTGGAGGATGCTGAAGTGGGTGTCTTGGTCCCTGAGAAGGTAGTACTTGTTTTCCAGCTAAGTACTGAAAATTTGTGCCAGTATCATACAAGGTTGTTTTCTTTCTGACTGATCATTAAAAACTTTTCACTAACATCTCTAATCTTTGGTAAGATTATTAATGGTCTAAGGTATTGTACTATGGTTTTAGATACTGTGGCTAATGACCCTTTTTCCTGAGTTTCGTGTGGCATGCCATTTTAAACTTAAAAAATAACTTGCTGAAAGAAATGTAAATGTAACAGTTAATGATAGCTGGATAGCTCTGCTGTATAGGTGTGAATTAGACACCCCAAGGAGGAGGAAGTTTCTTGAATATCTTTCATGTGAAGAGCTCTGTTTAATAATTGATGAACAATAAATTGATGTGATGTTGTTGGGTATGTCATGTGAGTAGTTAGTGAAGGGTGATCACAGTTCTTGGATTGAACCACTCAGATTATTATGAGAAGGTCTGTGCTATTTGTTTTAAAATAATCAAGCCCAATTCAGTCAAAAACCTTGTATTGATTTAAATAAAATAAAATTTAAGCTAGCTATGTTGTGAAATGTATTTAATCAACTGGGAAGGAGTTTTATCCTCTATTTATTGCAATCTGATAATGTTACAGTCTTTTTTTAAAGTGGTGAGCAATTCCAAGTTAATTTTTTTTTTTTTTTCCTTCCCTGATGACCCATGCTGTTTCAGGAGTTGTGTTGAGGTGGAACCTGCTGGTGAGCTGTTGAGTATAAGCAAGATAGTTGGATGCATAAGAGAAAGCTGGTTTTCCACATCTCCATCTCATAAGTCTCTAATGTTTTACTAACAGAAGAATACTCTGATGATAATTTTTAGTCCAACAGACCCTTAGATTTTTAGATGATAGATAATCACTAAAAGCACACAGTGGTAGAAACGGAGTGAGGAAAGTTGCTGATACCATGAAGGTAGGCAGGTAAACAGTCTTTAAAACAGGATTTCTTGCTTTTTTGGCACAGACACTGTATATATAGTGTAGAAATAGAACAGCTATTGTGTTAGGAAAGAAAAAAAAAAAAAAAGCCCTTCTATTAGCATGAGTGTTCTGATGCATCTTTGCAGTGAGTGTCAGTTGAGGTGACTGGAGGGAAGCACCCACTCTTGCACTTTTTGCAGATCTATACAGGTAGTTTGGGAGTGCTTTGAAGTGCTTTTCCCTTGATTTCTGAGGGCATAACAACTGGGAAATGCTCTAGTCTGTCATTTGGCAGTTTGTTGTTGACTTACTACATTGTCCACATCAGCTGACGTTTGACACATCAGCCATTTCCTACCAAACCATAAATTTGCCTAAACTTTTGTTAAAATTTGATAACTTAGTGTCTTCCTGAGGTGTGAGATTTGCAAACTGTTAGTGTCTCACTTCATGTGTCCTATTTTTTTGTTGAAAATCTTTGTAGAAAAATAGCATTAATTTAATCAAATCACTGATTTTCAAAGGCAGTTTAAAAACAATTCCTGAAATGTCTGTGTATATTTAAAACTGGAAAATAGTCTGGAAAAGATTTTTATTTTTTTTCTTCCCTCTGGTGTAACAACATAGCATGTGGTAGCATTGGTATCCTTCAAAATGTACAGGAAGTATGCAGCTATGAGAGTACTGATGTGTTTCCATTAGGGTGATTTGTTTCTTACTCAGAGACTACTGGAATAGAAGATGGAGCTTGAGATATTTTTACAAAAAAGGAAAGTAATTGTTTTGAGTGCTGGGGGAGCATTTGGTGTTCCCTGTGTAATGGAGATCTATGATCTTATCAGTTGTAGCACCTAGTAATGAAGCAGTGAACCAGTGTGGAATTAAATTCTGAGCTGCCTGGGAAAAACTAAAACTTATGCAAGGAGAATGAAATGTTTTAAATATCCTTTTGAAGATGCATTAGAAAAATGCTGAAGACTGAAGTCTGGAAGTCAGTATTTAAGAGAATAGTGCATTGATTCTTGCTGAAAAGTTAAACAGAAGTTTATGGCCTTAATAGCTTTCTTATTCAGTTTATGTATTTTTTTTTTTTTAATCACCAGTCACGTTGTATGTGTGTGTCTATATATTTATTTTCTATATGGCACATATATATACACACACAGACAAGTGTGTGTGCACATGCACAGACTCACCATCATTTTCCTTACCCAGTTAGCCTGGCAACATTTGCAGCAT